AGCAATTGGAGAATATTTGTTATTGCTCGAATTAAAATTTTGTTTCAAAGATTCGTGAAGAATTTTGTTAATTTTTTTAATGATATAGCCAAAGATATAAATATATTAGTACAAAATTTGTTTTGATGGTTAGGTGAATTAAAAAAAAAATGACAATAATATAAACACACACACACACACACACACACATATATATATATATATATATATATTAAGAGTTATTTATTGAGAAAAATAGAATTCTAACTGTATATCTCTAATAAAATCTCCCTATATATAATTCCCGAATGCGCTGAGCCTACGTGGCTGTTTCTGATGCTTCGGAATCCTATTTGGCGAAGAATCATGCTTCGTAATTAGGTTTGGACAAATAATATTAATATATTAATAATTAATAATCTAGGTTCGGGTATTCCATAAATATTATTTAGCTAACTTAGGTATTTTAATATCACTTTTACTAATACAACCCTTTAATTCTTTGTAATTTTAGATAGTGAGACACTAAGTGACTAATATATCCCTAAATTTTGATTTGTTTCCTTCAATAAGTTCTTGATTTATAAATGTATTTTAAAAGTTGATAACTTTTGTATTTCTTATCGGTTTTACATATATAATATATCAAATTAATCATCTTTTGATGATCTTCGATTTGACATCCATATTGTATATATAAAATAAATAAATTATATTTATCTTTATAATAATAAAAAATAATAATACGTGGCTGTTTCTGGTGCTTCGAAATCCTATTTGGCGAAGAATCATGCTTCGTAATTAGGTTTGGACAAATAATATTAATATATTAATAATTAACAATCTAGGTTCGGGTATTCCATAAATATTATTTAGTTAACTTAGGTATTTTAATATCATTTTTACATATACAACCCTTTAATTCTTTGTAATTTTAGATAGTGAGGCACTAAGTGACTAATATATCCCTAAATTTTGATTTGCTTCCTTCAATAAGTTATTGATTTATAAATGCATTTTAAAAGTTGATAACTTTTGTATTTCTTATCGGTTTTACATATATAATATATCAAATTAATCATCTTTGATGATCTTCGATTTGACATCCATATTGTATATATAAAATAAATAAATTATATTTATCTTTATAATAAAAAAATAATAATATTATTAAAATTTATTATAAAAATAAAATTATTTCTCAATTGATATATTTATATTTAATGTAGTTATATATTATAAGTTCAAAAATTTGTATAAAGGAGCTACTTGCATATATTTTAAATACAAAACAAACAAAAAAATAATTTTGAATGAACAATAAATCAGTTTTATAATGAACCAACAATACATAATAAATATATATAACTAAATTATTAATCAATGTGGAAATTTTATAATCAACAAAACATATAATAATAAAACATAATAAAACATAATGTTTTAGGAGAACCAATAAACAAATGAACTAAGCAATATTTCCAAAAATAAAAAGTATCATAATAAATATATAATAATATATATATTCTTATAAAAGGTATTTAATTTTCTAACTACTTTTTCTCAATAATTTTAAATTTTAAGAAAAAAATTAGCAAACACCCGTGTAATACACGGGCGTTGTACTAGTAAAAAAGTATTACAAAATTACACTCAATTACCATAAGTGGCACTTGGTAATCACTAAAATAATATATAGGTTTAAAAAAAATCTATATCTATATCTATATAATGTACCAATCTATATTACCATAATTGACATAATTTTAGATAGTTTTTCATATAATTAGGCTTTATTTATTAGCATATTTTACATATGGAAAAATAGTTATTTTTTTTTTTACACAATTGCTAATATGCATTAAGTATATCTATCGTTCTGGAAAAAAACACGCATCTATATATATAAAAAGAATTACCATTTTTTTTGTACGAATTACTTTTTAAATATTTTAAAACACTAAAAGATATACAATTTCAATATAAAATGGCATTTATGCGAGATTACATGTTTTTAAGGGGAAACCCGTGCGTCAGACATGGCTTAAAATTTCAAATATTGATTTGTTAAAAATTAAGCAAATTATTTATTTTTGTAAACAAAAACAAATAAATTTTATAAATTCTCAATAAATTTTTTAAATCGTTTCCGTTTTATTTATCATATTACTATACAATAAAATCAAAATATTTTGAAATTCGAAATTAAAGCTATATTGGCGGGTTTTTTCCGATAATTATTTTTTCAAAAAGATTACCAAATTTATA